AGGAAATCACTGCATTTACAACCAAAAAATATCTTGATTGTAATATGCTGTATGCGCCTCAGTCCCTCCCTTTAAGGATCATGTAGGAGCTTCAAAGACAGCAGGTAAAAGGTTATTTTGTATAAGGTAGATTCTTTTTAAAAAACAAACTACAAACATAAGCTAAACTCTCTCTCTCTCTCTTTCTCTCTCTCCTTTCCACATCCTCTTCTTTTTTTCAGGAGCTAAGCTAGGATCCTCTCCTTACGTTGATCTGAGATACCTACTGGAAGGGAAAAATATTTTATCAGAAGGACTTTGTCTACATGAATTTCAGATTATGAATATATGATCACCGAATAGGAGTGTGGGCACTGTGGGGAGCTCAATTGTAGTTTCTACATACTATGATTTATCAGGCATTTTATATGACTATTGAATGAACAGACCACAATTCTTGAGCTAGCTATTATTTTGCAATTAGCAAAACATTGGAAGAAACCAAAAGGATCATTCACAAATAATTCTTTCTAGAGGCCACAATAAGAGAATGCTTTTCTTTACTTCTCTTCTGCTTTCTTCTTCAACTGTTTTTGGTTAAATAAAAATCACTTTTTTGACTTCCTAGAAAAAATATGCAAGGAATATTTCTGTAGAATGTGATGCCTAAACTTTTCTCAAGGGGAGGAACAAAATCAAAACTAAACCAAAGTAAGTATCCATGTGCTATTGTTGAAGGTATCCATGTGCTCTCCCTGCCCTAACAGTTACATCTCCAAGTTTTGTCCTCTTTTCCCTTTAACATTGTAGAAAAACAAGCACCTTACTACAGGGAAAATAAAGTATAGTGTGGGTTCATTCTCTGTCACTGTCCAACAGGTCAACTTTGATCAAGTTACTCTCTGAACAAATGGCCTTTGGATGGGTTGGTGAATAGACAGCAGGCATGTTGCTCTTTCAGCAGCTTCCTGTCTGTCTATGACTGTTACCAGGCCTGGTCTGCTTCTGTTTTTTTCCCATCTTTCCCATCTGCCACCAGAAGGTGTCCTGGAAAAGGACACGATGCCTTCTTTCTCCTGATCCTCCACCCTCATTTTTCTGCAATGATGCCCATTTGGTTATGGCTTTTCTCTCTGGATACAAAGCAAACATCCAAAGTGCTGAAGTTATTGGAGTAGCAGACCTCCTCCCCTTCTCCTTGTTCTTCCTCCTCCTCCTCCTTTTCTTCCCTCTCCCCTCATACCTCCTCCTTTGCCTCCTTCTATTTCACAGACAAGAAAAGTCTCAATGCTCATGAGGCGTTAAGGCTGGAAGTACCACACCTCTCTACATAGCCTCAGAATATCCTCTTGGACATCACTAGATACAGACTGTGCCAATAGTAAAACCCATCACAAAAGGCTGAGTGGGCTCTGTTTGCGGGGAGGGCTGTTGCTGTGATCTTAAATCAGGACCTCCGCACCCTTGAATGCATAACAGTGCAGGGACTCATCCTCTATGGCTGGCCATCTGGATCTTGAAGAGCAGTTTTTTTCTCCACAGTTGGATTTTGTGCACGGAGATAACTGGGGACCTGTGGTGCTTTGGGACTCAGTGCACTGATGTAGCAGAATTTAAAGGAAAAACAGTCATTAGGTTACTTGGAAAGCACAGGAGCCAAGCTTCATGGAGGAAAATAGATGATGTCACTGAGTTCATTCAGATTGCTTTTTAGCAGCAAAGGGTACTTTATTTTTTGACTCAGCAGTTGTAGAAGAAAGCAGCTACTGGTGGCCTTTTCCAGGCAGGCCTCCTCCTCTGAGAAAGGAAGTGGATGCTGGAGAATGGGGATGAGGTCAAAGCTTGGCGCCTGAAGCATCCTCAGCACACCATCACCGACATGAACATGCCTCTGCCCCTTAGCCTGTTTCTTCCTCACACAGACAACCTTCTTCCCACCCTTCCCACCCTTCTCAATCTGCTCAGCCTGCTCCTTTAGCCACAGGCTATTTGCTGCATTGTGGCTGCCAAATGGGCTGGTGGGATGCCAGACCTGCAGGAAATAGGGGGTCCTGCCAAGAGCAGGGACATGGATGGAAGGCCCTGCAGGTCAGCTCCTGATTCCTGTCAAGCACAGCTGTGCTCTGTCTATGGCAGTGCCTGCTGCTATAACAAGAACACCACAGTCTGGGTGGTTTAAATAACAGCACAGTCTGGGTGGTTTAAATAACACATATGTTCTGCACTCCTCAGGAGGCTGGCAAGTCTGAGACCAAGGTACCTTTGTAGCCAGGCTCTGGTGAGAGTCCACTTTCTGATTTCCTCACCTGGGGGCAGGGGTGGGAGTGAAACTAGGTCTTTCTTGTTTGTTCTTCTAAGGGCACTAATTCCATCTTGACCCAATTACCTCCCACAGCTGTGTCTCCAAATAACATCACACTGGAAATTAGGGTTTCAACATGAATTTGGGGGTGACACATTCAGTCCACACAGCCTCATTAAAACTTGCCTGAGATTAGAGATCACTGTGGGGTTCCCAGGAAGCTGGTACCAGCAGAGAGTGGTACATATTTTTATGTGGATAGGTGGAGTGTAGAAGGTGTCAGGGATGGAGGCAGAGGACCACAGAGTTCTTTAAGGCCAGGTTTGAGCAGCTTCATCAGAAGACCATTTTGAAAACCTCTGGGCTTTTGATTGCTTGGAACAAAGAAAAGCGGGCTCTGTCTTCCAACTGTACAGCATGACAAACCTCAACACAGATGGCTTTCCCAGAGTACTCTGCACCTTCAGGATCAGAGCTGAGGTCTCAAGGAGGTTTGTAAACAGAAGCTGTTGGAAGCTCCGCCTGGCCCCACAGCAGCCTGCTTCCCATGTGGGCGGAAAAGGCTCCTGGGGCTGGCTTGCGCTGGTCTGGGCTGCTGACTGTAGCCCACCCTCTGACTCTTGCCCTTCCCTGGGTCTCACTGTGATGCGCTGCAGGATGTGCAGGCCCGGTTGGCCGCAGGGGAAGCTTATAAATTGGGAACTTGCCCCTTGGGTAATGGGAAGTTTGGCACCCAACCTCACTCTCCTTGGGCTTCCAGGCTGAGGATATGGTAACTGCAGTTGATTCATGTTGTTAGTAATTGGATCACGGCTGCAGTGACAAAAGGGGCAAGGGGAATTCACTGCCATGTTTTCCCCTGCAGAACTAGGGGAGGCCTGGAATGAAAAATACTGGCATTTAGGAGAGGAGAGCCTGATGGGATGAGGCTGGAAAAGTTAACCATGTGACCCAAGCAGAAGTGCAGTTCTAGAGTCTTGTGTCTCCATGACTGGTAGTTTTCCGGTGCCCTCTTAGGCGGTAACCAGTGAGCACAAGTCTTCAAGGACCATTTGCTTCATCTCTGCAGGTAGCCAGGCACCTGCACCTTCTCCATGACTTGTGTCCCTGCCCAGGAGAGCAGGAATTGGGGGACAGCACTGAGCACCGAGTGCCAGCTGCCTGCTTGTGACTACGCAAACCCTGGGGGCCTTGACCTACTACTCTGCTTATTAACGGGACTCCTGGAATGTCCCCAGCAGAGGGCTTTGTGTGAATCAGCTATCACAGTCACTAGATAAAACTTAGTACAGGCTTTCACTCTCTTTGGGGTGGAATCTAACAGAGTAAACCCTGGGGTAGTCAAGACAGTGAGATGAGAGCTTTTATTTTTTCCCCGGAATGGAAGATTTGCTCTGAACACAGCTCAGTGGAGGCCAGCTACTCAGGGGCAAGCAGGGTGTGAGTCACCTCAGGTGCCACCTGGCACTCAGGCCACGGGTTCCCATCTCCCAGGAGTTGCAGAGGAAGGGGAATGGCAGGCAGCTCTGGACAAGCACTGTGGTCTTACCAGTTGCACTCTTCAGCTTTTGCAGGTCCTGTTAGTGACCCCAGTGCATATTCTTTATAAGCTATTTGTTACAAATCTGACAAAGTTCAATGGCATCTACTCTACTTGTTTATGTGCATCGGTGGGGATTTATCCCCACTCTTCCAGGATGGAAGACAGCTAGGAGTTGACCTTGGGTTTGGTTCCACAAATGTAATCACTACCCACAACAGCTGGTCCTTACCTCCTCTTTGTGACCAGTGCTCCTCCCTCTCACTGCTTCCTAAACCTATGGTCCCCATGGATGTGCATCTCCCCATCTTCCATGTGAAGAAAAGAAGTAGACCCAAGCCAGAGTGGGTTTTGGGCCTTCCCAAGTCATCTCCAGACAGGACTTGTTTTTTCTCCAGTGTTGGGGATTGAATCCAGGGTCTTGGGCATGCTGGGCAAGTGCTTTACCACTGAACTACAACCCCCAGTCCTAGACAAGGATTTGGTGCCTGACTTGGCTCTTGTGGGGGCACTAGAGTGATACAAAACCACTGTTGCCATGTAGGTGGGGAAAAGACAGGAGACCTAACCTCAGCTCTAAAAACCTGATCTGAGCCCCCTTGGCCTCCTAGCTTTGGAGAAGGCAATGAGTTTATTGTCCTCAGGAGGGGGAAGGGGAGAGGTAAGTGAACAGATTTGCTTTAGAAAATCCTTGTCACTTTAGGCATGGGCAGTACACTGGGTGGCACATGAGAGCACTTACTGATGGCACCCAGAAGCACCAACATGGCAGAAATCCTGACAGCCTTGTCACAGATCCAAGGGTGTTACCTTCAGCAGGCTTAGCACCCAAGTTCAACCTCCTACAATTAATCACCATGGAAAGAAGTGAGTCCAGTCAAGTGGGCTTTTCTGAGGGATCTTGCAAATGTCCTCAATGTCCACTTCCAGGGTTGTCTTGTGGGGCCCTAGCTACCCACCCCAAGAAGCCAGAAGCACACAACTGGCACCTAGAACACCAGACTGGGCACCCTGGCATTGTCTTCTATAATGTGTAGGAGGAACTCTGCCTTATTTCTATGTCCCCCAGTACACTTTCTTCTCTGCAATGGCCTCACTATGTGGTCTTTCTGTGTGACAGCTGCTTTGACATTAAGTGCTCTGTCCATGGAAGATTTCCAGAGCCAAAAAAAAAAAAAAAAAATCTACATACATCTTATGTGCTTTTCATTATTGCAAAAGGAAATCTTAAGCGGATACTCAATAATGGACAAGGCCATATCTTAGCATCAACCTTAGCTTATGTGAATTGACCTTATCAGTTAAGATCACCGCCTTTTCATTAAAATGGCCAATGAATAATGTATCAGAGCTTAGTTTAAAAGCTTCAGGTATGTTTTCAGACAGAAATATTCCAAGAATGCAAGTCAGGTATATTTCTCAGATAAATAACAGTGGGAGCTCTTCTACAGGGAAATTCTCCGCTCTCAGGTTTCCCCGAGGTTGAGATCCAGCGCGCATCATTAATCATTCAGTGGGGTCTGCCCTCAGTCAATGGCAGCTCTGAGTAAGCTGAAGCGCCCGCTAGCTAATCCTTCCTGCCCAGGGGATCCTGGGGCGAGAGAGAACAACTGGGCAGTCAGTCACATGTGCCAGTGCCCAGACCCAGTCCCTCTTGCCTGGGTCTGAGTGGGTGGGTGCCTGTGTGTAAGCGAGCGCCCGCGCGCGCGTTTACAAGCAGCAACACAAACCCAGAAGGAAAAACAAATTAGCCCTAACGTTCAGCACAATCCAATTCAGAGTTTCTAACAGGAAGCAGCTCGAGTCGTGGCACAATGAGGGAGTAGCTTCCTAAAGGCCATAAATCCATCCCTATCTCCTTAATAAATCAGTAACAACAAATCAGCCTTCCCCGCAAACCGCGCCACACCAAACGCTTCCCAACTTGGGCCGTGCGTGTGGTTCCAGCCCGTGAAGCCGTCGAAAGGATCCCCGGGAGAGGGACGAGCCGCTAGAACCTACGGGAACTAGAGAGGAACCTGGAAATCGGGTCCTGGGTGGGCAGGACTTGCGTGGCCAGGACGCTGGTGCGCGGGAGAGGAGCGAGAGGACGTGAAGCCATTGCCACGTTTCTATCCCATTTCTGTCAGGGTCCCCAGCGCGCGTGCTAAGCGCGTGGAGCTCAGTGACCCGCGGTGTGGTGCCCCGGGTGAGAGGAGCGCCGGGGTGCGCGGCCCTGGGGTAGGCGCGCCCGGCGTCTGGGGCGCTGCGTCTCCGGGCCCGGCCGGCGTCCCCTCCCACTCCCTCCGCGTCTCCTCCCTCCTCACACCCCCGCCCCCGGGACCGCGAGGCTCCCTCCCCGCACCGGCCAGGGAGTGCACAGAGCGGCGGGTGAGGGGAAGCTCCGCAGGCGTGCACGGAGCAGTGAGATCACTGGCGTTATAAATATCCCGGTGCCAGCGCCGAGATCCGCTCCGGTGGCCTCTCTCTCCCCCTCTCCCTCTGCCTTCCCCGAGGCTATGTCCACCCGGCGTGGCGAGGGGGACAGCGTCAGAGGCACGCAGCTGCGCGGGGGCTCCGGAGCCCAGAGCCAGCCCTGCAAGATGCTTGTAGGACCCCCGCGGCTGGAAGAATGAGCTTGTCCTTCTTCCTCCTCTTCCTCAGCCACCTGATCCTCAGCGCTTGGGCTCACGGGGAGAAGCGTGTGGCTCCCAAAGGGCAACCTGGACCCGCGGCCGCGGCTCGGAACCCGGGAGACTCCAGCAGCAGCCGGAGCAGTAGCAGGGCGACGTCTTCCACGCATTCCTCTGCGCCCTCTTCCCCGGCGGCTTCCCGGGGCAGCCAGGGCAGCGGCTCGGAGCAGGGCAGTTTCCAGTGGAGCCCCTCGGGGCGCCGGACCGGCAGCCTCTACTGCAGAGTGGGAATCGGTTTCCATCTGCAGATCTACCCGGATGGCAAAGTCAACGGCTCCCACGAAGCCAATATGTTGAGTAAGTTGCTCACTCTCCTGAAGAACCTGTCCTAGGCGGGCAGCCGGAGATTCGGGAGGGACAGCCGTCGCTCCCTGGGCCGCAGGTGCACCTCCTGGAGTCTCGGTCCTGGACGGGCGCAGCTGGTCTTGCCAACAGCCTGGCAGGCTGCGAGGAGAGGCGTCTCCATGGCGCGCGCGCACCCCTCTCGTGGGCACGAGGAATGGCGACTCCCGAGGTGCAGGTGACCCGAGGCCAGTGCCCAGCCAGGCGCCTTGTCCCCAGGATGCCCTGGTCCGCAAGACTAGCCTCCTTCCTTTTCCTCCTACAATTTCTGTTTACCTTCTGGGAGTGAACTACCCTGGCATTTTTAATTCAGCATCGAAGTGCATCCTTTTCCCTGCACATAGGCGAAGTTATTTATTATTTTTTAAACACAGATCAGATCTTACATACGTCCCTCCTTCAGTCACAATCATAGGCCCTAAATTAATATTGTATGTGTATATTCATATAAGAGTATAGACATATGTGTGTTTCACACACATGTATACACACATATGTATAAATATGGGGTGGGGTGGGGAGGGAGAGAGGAGGGAAGACTGCTTGGAAGAAGCCAGTGATCTTGAAAACCGGACATGTTTAGAGAAGGAGGCGCGTGAGGGACATTGGAATTATTAACTCCAGTGATGGGTTTGGAGACATTTAGTGTCTTGAGCCCGCGACAATACCGTGTTAGGAGTGTGTCCACCCTAGGACAATTAGAGGGAAGTTCTTCATTTTAAAAGACACACAGAAGGGGCTCATTTTGATATGGGTGCAAATTGTGCAGGAATTTTTGCAAATCAAGTTTTCAGTTTTCTCCCTAGTTTTCTAATCAGCGCTCTTTTCCTCCTGTCTCTCCTCTCTGCCCGTCCACCCCATCTGCATTTCCAGACCATAGCAGCTTCCCCTGTATTTCTCTGACCGCTTCTTGGCAGCTGGAGGGAGCGGTGATTTGGGGATGTGCCAGGGACTAGGGTCATCTCCGGGAAGCTTTTCCTCAGTTGGTCTCGATCGCTTTTTCAGCCACATAAAACCACAGTCGGGGCTTGGAGACCGCCAGGGAGAGCGGGAACGTGGCCAGGAGGTAGCGCTGCGAAGCCTCCCGGCCCAGGAGTCAGCCTGCTCACTCTCAGGTGGAGCGAACTTGCTCAGTCCCAGACCAAGACCCGATGGGAGCGGCACGAAGGCTCCGGCTTACCCAGGCTCCCAGCAGCCCGGGGCTCGGCGTCTGACTGACAATCTGCTAGGGGCCTGCCAGGCTGATTGGAGTTGCAAACGTCGAGAAGGAGTAGCTGGCTGACCAGGCTTCCTCTGATGGGTTATGGGGGCTGTGTGTGGGGGACCTGGCAGTATGCACCCGGATAGTAGCAGTTCCACGCCGGCCCCCTGAGCTTGCTAGGTCTTTTGAGGTGCGCGGCTCAGCTAGCCACGCACGTGGCTAGGGGTCCTGGTGCGTCCCGCTGAGAGCTGGCCCTGTGCGCCCCAGTGAACCCCGAGGCCGGAACCCCTCTCTGAGAAAGCCTGTTTGCAAGTTTATTTTAGTCTTATAAGGGTAGCCTGGTTTGTTGGTGCGAAGACGAATTCTCTGAGATGTCAGCAGCTGCTAGAGTTAAGTCTATTTCAGCATTTCTATTTCACCTTCTATTTTGTCCCATTCAACTCCTTTCTATTAGGCATCAGAGCTTATTCTCCACTCATGGCAGTCTTTAATTTTTTGTTCCTCCAGAAATGCTTTGTCTTTTCCCTTCTTTTTGTAGTTTATCTAGGAAATCAGCACCAACTGAGGATAACCTTTGTGTGCCCAAGGTAAGATCCAAAAATAGCAGACAGTAAGCAGCAGTTTGGAGCCCAGGCAGCCGACCCGATGTGTCTAGAGTAGATTTCAGTGTGCTAGGTCATCTCTGAAAGCCAGGCTCATCTCCAAGAATTTACCCTTTCTCTACAAAGACACCATAGGTGTCAAAAATTCTTGCAATTTAGGCCTTATTGGTGAGGGAAGTCATAGAAAAGCAAACAAGGAAAGCACAGGTCAACAGAGAATGAATTCCACTAAAGAACTGATCACTATCTTTTGTTTTCAAGGTACAATTATTTTTTTAAAATCCACGTTGAACAAAAAGTATAAAAGAACAGAGATGTTTTCTAAACATTTCCTCAATAAAACTTAATGTAACCAGCCATTTCTCATTTTTTCCATTTAAAACATCTCTTCAGAGTGTGTGTCTTTCACATAACTTGCTTTTATTCATTCATTCATTCTTGTACCCAATATAGGACACCTCCCTCACTAAGCACGCTATTTTGCTTACTTTAGTGCTAGCTTTTGTTCTTGTTTTGTTTTATTTTGTCTTCCATAAATTTTTCTCATGGAAAACATAACTTAAATATTTATATCAGAATAATTGTTTTGCTATCATTGTTCAATTAAGAATTTATAGATTGTCTCATATTTAGTAGGATGGCATGTATTTTGAAGTTTGAAATGAGTCTCTACTTTTATATAGCTATGAAAGAAAAGTAGCAGCTTGCTTATTGCAGTTGGTCATTTACCTGTTTGATGGTAGCACTTGATGGTTTCCTGAGATTTTGTAAAATAAGGTGTTGGTCATGGACTGTTGTGTAAAGTATACCAGGAAACATTTGTCAAAGTCTCACAAGAGCTAGGTCAGGACCATAGAGGATGTGTTACTTTCTACCACATCATCTAATTCTGTTGTCTGTGAGTTATTGGTGATAGAAAATTTAAGTTCTTTTTGCTATAAGCCAGCTACTTCAGAAAAAAGGCTAAACTTTGCCATGAAACTGCATTCTAACAAGATAATCTAATAAGATTTTTTCATATAGAACAGATAAATACATATGTGTTTCCCAATTCTCACTTGATGATAAATATTTTTGCAAATTGTGAATATTTTCTAGTTTCAGCATGAAATGCACACTCTGGCCAGAGACTTCAAACATAATTAGTAGTTTAGGTATATTGATTAACATAGTCTTAGCTTCTTTTACACAATAGTAACTCAGTTTTGAAGATGGAAAATGGAATCAAGCTCATTGCATATAAACCCTTAGTACAAGGAAATACTGGGAAAGATAAAGAAAGATGGACAAGACAGATGATATGATTCAATCATTGCCTTAATTTATTTCAAGTTTAGTTTCAGTAGACTGTTACGTTGACTTGTCTTGGGCCGTTGAAGAATACGAAATCAGGTACCAAGATATATCATGTAAAGGTACAAGATCCAATGATGAATGTAACTGTATTGTATACCTAAAATGTACCAATGAACTAAATGGAAAAAAAAATAAGAAATCAGGTAATGGTTAATTCAGGGAGGAAAAATTTAAGGCTATGACTGCACAAAACATTCATATAAAATATAAAAGTTCCAGTAACATATTTTCCTAAGAAACTAATAATCATATATTTTGACTAATCATTTGTACTGATTTGTTAAAAATCTGAATTCATCACCTTAGGTGTCATAGAGTGACCTTAGATAGACTCCCAAGCTTAGATAAACCAGAATATGTATGCACTATGTGGAAAAACTCAAGTGGAAATTTTCTGTTTCTAATTTAATCAGTAAAGGCTGCTACACACAGTGAATATTTCAGAATTCAGATTTGAAAACTTGGCACAACATATCTGTTACTGTTTGGATGCGAATAGAGAAAGTTCAATTTTAAAATACGTTTTCTTTGGAAATTTTCAGATGGGTTGTTGAAAGCTTCTGAATACATAGAATTCTGCATTTTTCTGGATTTTATTCACCAAGTCTATAATAATATAGCCTTATTATATTAAAATATGGAGAGGATTAAGTAAAAGATACAGATAGGTGTTTATTGAAATAAACTTACTTCATAAGTTATGGCTATCCCTATAAATAAGTGAATTGAATAGTGTATATAATCTGACCAACACAAGAAATCATTGCTTCCTTCAACCTAGATGTCAACCCTGAAAGTCTACCAAGAGAGGCTACTTTCTTATGTTAAGCATTGCCTCCTTCCAATGTCTTAAACACCAACACCTTAGGAAAGATAAACACATGGTCACCGGTGATTTGATGTGGATTAATTTACACTGAGTCCTCATCCCACCCAGCAGGAGAGAGTGGCAATAGCAGGAAAGTACTGCCTAAGAACACATGGTGTGTCCTGACCTGGAGAAAGAAGAGAGGTGATGGGGAGGGTCAAAGAAGACAGTTCAAGGTAGCATGCAGTCATTGACTACCTGTGATCCATGAGGCAAACTTTGTCTTCCACATGTTGCTCTTGGCACCCATGAGATGAACTGTAAATTTCTATCAAATTTATTATGACTGACTCCTAATGATAACAGTGCAGGAATTACATTTAAAAAGCTATTCTTAGGGAAATGTTCCCTCAGATTTATATATGTTTGCTTAATGCACATGGGTTAAAGTCTTATGTAGAATTCTTTAATGAGTTATTAGATTTTGGCACTGTGAAACAGACAAAATAGATAAACTTGTGCTCTCTTATGGAGGGGAAGCAGGAAGTTGAATTGTGAGAATCTTGTAGAATCTGCTCCAGTATTCTAGAAAACAAGATGTTATGATCTTAATGGTGTTCCCAAGATCAGGCCATAATTACTTTACAATTTCAAAGATCAATATGAAAGTTACCAGTGTGAAAAAGAATTCTTTCATCTAATCTCATCTTTTCTTTTTCTTCCATTCTTTATTAAATTAGATAGAATGATATACATATATAACAGTGTATTTTTAAGCTTTCAGCTAAATACAGTACAATCTTCCCATTCTGAGGAAGTATAACAAATTTTTATTCTGAAATTCATAACAAAAGAAATCATTTGGGCTGGGGATTTAGCTCGGTGGTTTTGCCACCTGCTGTGCAAACGCAAGGATCCTAGTTCAATCCCCGGTACAAAAAAAAAAAGAAATCATTTAATATGTAATAAAATAACACTTTCACATATATTATTTAATCTTCCTCATATTTAAAACTCATTGCAATGAAAGCTGTACATAACACATACACACAGAATGTACAGAGTGCTGAGATACAGGCTAAATGAGGTCTTTCTTTTAAAACAGAATATATTAGTGGTCAGAAAGCAATAGTTACACAAAACAATACTATTTTTATTAAGTAAGTATGTATAAGGCCCTTTTATTTCAACATCTTAAAAATTAGCCTGCAAACACATATACTTACAAGAATTGTATTTTAATAATACCATATATTTTTCCATTAATATACAATGGATTTGAATTTATAAAACCAGGTAATTTCCCAATAATGGAATAAAATACTAACAGTCTGGAACCGTGGGTAAATTGGAGGAAACACAGCCAAATCCCCTTTTCCACCAACCTCATGTAGCCTCTTTGGCGTCAGTCATTCCTCACATAGATGACTTGTCATGTTCCCTTCTCATTTAACACATTTTTTTTTTTTTTTTTGACACCGGGGATCAAACTCAGGACTTTGCACTTGCGAGGCAGCAGTTGGAACCACTGAGCTAAATCCCCGGCCCTCATTTAACACACCGATGTAGTATTCATAATCACATCCCTGATCTCCCAAATATCTAAAATCGTTAGTGATGTTCTCAATATCATTTGTAAATTCCGACAGAAATGTGACTTCATATCAGATGTTCTAGTCATATTTTAATATTACTATAATTATTACATCTTTGTAATTCAACTTCATAAAGTTAAATACACTTCATGTGACATATCTTTGCAATTTAATTTTGGTAAGTTAAATGCATTACTTTATAAATTCTGTGTGCTTTATTACTATTTGATAAAATGACAATTCCTCTAAATATGTTGGTGTGTGTCACAAATAATTTTTAATAACAAAATCTATTGTAAATAGCATTTCAAATGAATGGTTGTATAGGACACCAATTTGTATAATGGTATCTTCCTAAAAGCAAAAATGGTTCCTTTTAATATTTTTCATTAAAAGCATTAAGCTCTACAGATTTTGTGAGATGTATTTTATTTACTCTGGGATAAGAATGTTTTTGACAAAGTCCAGTTTTTTAGTTATCCTCTCCCCCCCATGAACTTTCTAATCAAGAATTTTTAAGAAACCAAGTTGAATAAGTTAAGCAGCAGTATTTGCTATAATTGTAGATGGTTAGCTTGCAATGTACAATATAAATGCTCAATAAATTTATTCATCTATATGTATGTATACTTCTTGTAAATTGAATAATTTTTATGTATTTCAAATATTGTAGTAATAGGTTCCCATTTTGGGACAATCTAGTGGATTTTTTTAATGAGATATCGTATTGCGATATATATGCTTAGAATAGCATGGGTTGAAATATTGAGAGGTTCTTTTTCCCTCCTTTTCTTTCTTTTCTAGGACAGATCCTGTTTTAGCTCTAGTGAACTATATTATTTTGTTCTTTTTATTTGTTTCTTTTTTGCAACTTTGTATAGGTAGCTAACAAAACATCATACTTTTCTCATGTTTCTGTAATATTATATATTGAATTTATGATAAATAGGAAGGCTTTCCAATTATATGTAACTATGAGTTTCATCTTCTTCAAATATTCTGTGAAATTGTGGTGAATGATTTTCTTGATTCAGTTGATGTGGACTTTGAAATTATTGCAGGAAACTGACATTGGCTTGATAGTATTAACTATGAAATATAAAATATAAACAATAATATAATAAAATCTCAATTTTTTTCAGGAAGTGGTTCAAAATGCAAAATGTCTGAAAACATAATCCATTAAAAACTGGACTGATTTGTGAGATAATTCCAAATCATCTATAATGTTTTAGTATCTTGTTATGTAAAGTCTTTAGATAAGCTACTCACTAAGTGATTGAGCTTGGTATAAAAAATATATCCTCTTAAATTGTTATGACTAGAGAAGAGCAAATGCAAATAAGTACTATCTTATCTTATGCAGATAAATATTATACCAGACTTTTGAATTGTTTTTGCTAGTTGTGAAAACAGACTTTATGTGCTTTAGTATTAAAAGTAATGTATTATCTTTGATGGAAAAATGAGTGAGAATCATTTCAAAAACCATTCAGAAAAAATGTCTTTTCAATTCCTTTAGAACTAGAAAAGATTCTATGGCCAAGCCTTCTTTAGTAAAAGCAACTTAATTATTTGTGGGGGGGGGGGCAGAAATTGCCAATGAAAGGGATTAAATTTTTAATATTGAAATTAATAATTTTAAATGACTATAAATGCTAACCTTTTTAAAAAGCATAGTGAAAGTCATACAAAATGAGGGCATTAGGTACTGTTTCTTTTTTAACCATAGTAATACAGAATAGAAAGAATATGTAGAAATTTAATTCTTCATATGATACATAGAAGAGTCTGTGTTTTATTTTGGGATTTCTGTCATCCTAGGTATTTTGGAAATATTTGCTGTGTCTCAGGGGATTGTAGGAATACGAGGAGTTTTCAGCAACAAATTTTTAGCGATGTCAAAAAAAGGAAAACTCCATGCAAGTGTAAGTAGAACTACTTTATATCTGTTAAAGGTGTTATGGAGCTTTTGCATTTGTAACACAGAATGAAGCGATTTTCCAAACTGGTAGATATGACAGACACTTGCTGAGAGAGGACTTTTTTTGTAAATTTATATGTACATATAACCAAAAGAATTGTTATGTGTCTATAAGTAATCATTTAACTATTTTACTTACTCAAAAAAAATTACAGAATCTACAAGTTTTAAGGGTAAGTTCATTTGAAAATAGCCCTCTCAAAGCCAGGGTCATCTCTTTTTTTCTTAGAAGGGCCCAAGTACAGAGAAGTAGAATAGCAGTAAGACACTACCTAAAATTTTAATTTACATGTGCATAGTGATGGTGTGTATGTTTAGTAGATGAAGTTCTTGTTTAAATTTCCAAGCCATTAATGATGTCAAAAATTAGATATAACATATTTTCATATTAATTAACAGAGAGGGAAAAACTAGTAATGAGAAGACCTTCCAGAAAGATATTTTGCGTGAATTTGAGGACTTTTTATCTTGTACTTTTGGCACATCAAATTTCAATGAATTTCTATTACTATAAAGGCAAATTTTGCATTAAATTTTTTCAGACCATTTGTATATTTTATAATCAATTTACAAAGTATTTCTGTGCTTTGTTACGAAAATGCCGATCACCCATGAAGTAGTAGAACATTTTAAAGACAACATGTCTAGCTTAGCTTTTCCATACTCAGATTCTGTTTATTTGTAATAGAATGTATGTATGGCCCTGAAAAATTATTTGTGCTTTTTCAGAGGCATACTCTCTTTACATTAATAATTTTTACAAAGCTATTTGTCTTTAAAATTAAACTTTTAATATTTATTCCTTAATTCTAATTAATAAATTTCCAAATTATCACCTTTCCAATTTTCACAGTATATTAGAAATTTTAATCAAGAACTCCATTACTTGAAACTTATTATTTGAGATTTTTATTTTGTACACTTTTGAAAAATTCAATGAGAATTCTACTTGACCTTATGTGTAAGACATTTATAATTTTCCTTTTCTTAGCATCTAAAAGTAATTTGTGAATAACTTTTGAAGGGCACTATAGAATTGGAGCAATTTCTGTAATTATTTGAAGATTAAATGGGCTAATTCATATAATACTTAGAAGAATATTTCATACATTGTAAGTGCTCAATAAATATTGCCTATTCTATTAATAATGTAACTATAATATAGATATGATAAACCACTAATATATCAGTTTATTAAAATGAATAGAAACCTTTGCTAAACTTTTACCCATTTATTATGAGAATTATAAAATGATTTACCTATTTCCTTTGCTCATCTGGCTGTTACAATGTAGTGAACTGTAATATAGTAATCTATGAAACAATTGCTCAGATGAGCAATTGAAAATAATTGATTTTTTAATTTATTTGGTTTTTAGGAACAAAATTTGCATCACTATGGAAAACAGACATTTCACCTTTAAAAGTAATACTTGATTTTTTAAAATCCACATATGGACTATAAAATAATGAATAAACACATCTGGACAGAATAACTTTTTCTCAGTTTACTTTAAGGTTGTAATAGATTAAAAGACCTTCAGAATCTATGCACAATAATATGTGAAAAAACTGCCTTTTATTGGTTTATTGTGTGTGAAAGTCTCAACTTTGAAAACATTCTGAATTATGTACTAGTACATGTAAAAAATACCCAACAGATTAAATTCGAGAGGCTTAAGTATAATTGCCACAGAAAGCAAAGTATTATAAATGGATGCCAATTAGAAAGGTCAAACTGAGAGGTTAGGGGACATAATTCCTCTGTCAAATGCAAGTAACAAATTTCTAGAAATTTGACCCAAATGTCTAAGGATGACTGGTGGAAATAATGCAGATAATGCAAAAACAGCATCTGTTATTCTTTCTCATCTTGGCAGGCTAAAGTTATTTCATGGAATAACGACTTTTAAACAGTACAAAGCAAGTCTTGCCCTTGTCACTCACTGACGCTCTTTGATATAAAAGTCATTCTGAGGACTTTGAGCTTAATTGTAGATAAAAAAATTAAGCCATATGATGATGTGGCTTCCTTTTAAACAAATTGTCCAAGCCTACTTTCTCTTATCTGAGGTTTATTGACACTTTTCGCTAGATGGAAACCTAGTTGAATTATAAAATAATTTATTTTTAAAGAAGGTAAAGATTGTATTATATTATAAAGAAGTTAGAGGTTGTATTAATCCTAGCAATTATCAGTTTCATGCCCAGCTGGTTTCCTTCTTGTTTTCAGTTTCTAGTTAAACATGTTGAAAAATTGTTCTTGTTACTTTAAATATGATTATTGGTTTAGTTTTGATTCTTACAA